CGAGCCCATTTCCACCCACTTTTCACCCAAATCGAGCCCACTTCAAACCAGTTTTCACCCAAAACGAGCCCATTTTCACCCGTTTTTCACCCAAAGCGAGCCCATTTTCACCCACTTTTCACCCAAAGCGAGCCCGTTTTCACCCGCTTCTCACCCAAAGCGACCCCATTTCCACCCGCTTTTCCCCCAAAACGAGCCCATTTCCACCCGCTTTTCACCCAAAACGAGCCCATTTTCACCCGTTTTTCACCCAAAACGAGCCCATTTCCACCCGCTTTTCACCCAAAACGAGCCCATTTTCACCCGTTTTTCACCCAAAACGAGCCCATTTTCACCCACTTTTCACCCAAATCGAACCCGTTTTCACCCCCTTTTCACCCAAAGTGAGCCCATTTTCGCCCACTTTTCACCCAAATCGAGCCCATTTCCGCCTTTTTTTCACTCAAAACAAGCCCCAATAGGGGCTTTTTTGCCCCTCCGTTCTGGGGTGAAAAAGGTGCATTTTGGGGAGGGACCTTTGGCGCCCTGGAAGGAGTCAACGGAGGAGGAGCAGCGAGTTTGGGCGGTCTCGGGGCCGTTTCCCCCCGTTTTTGGGGGTGCGGCTCCATGTTTTGGGGTCTTTTCCCACCCTTTTGCTCCAGGGAGCGCCCAAGGAGCAGCCCCCTTGGATGAGGCCACCCCTGGAGGTGCCACCTCGGGGGGGTCCCACCTCCCACCGCGGGGGGGCCATTTTGGAAGCGTGGGGTCCCCCACCCCCCCAACCACGACCTCCCCCCAACCACGACCACGCGCTGCCACGTTGCGTCTCTTTGCTTTATTGGAAGCCCCTCCGCGATGCTCCACAACCATCGCGCGCGCTTCCAACCCAACCCAACCCAACCCAACGCAACCCAACCCAACCCAACCCAACTCAACCCAAGTCAACTCAATCAACTCAACTCAACCCAACCCAACCCAACTCAACTCAATCAACTCAACTCAACCCAACCCAACGCAACTCAACTCAACCCAACCCAACCCAACTCAACTGAACTCAATCAACTCAACTCAACTCAACCCGGCGGCCGCCACGCGCGCTCAATAGCAGGTGACGTCGGCGTCGGCCAGCACCACCGAGACGTTGACGGCCGTGGCTTTACCCGCGCTCTTGTCCAGGCCCTTGTGCACGAAGGTCATGGGCAGCCCCTCGTGGGCCACCACGCACGCGAACGCGTCGCCCCGCTGCCACGCGGCCGCCGACGTCCGCAGCGCGCTGTAGACCGTGTAGCCGCCCGCGTCCTCCTCGGGGCCGAACACCTGGTAGCTGCCGCTGGGCACCGGCTGCCCGCCCTGCGTCCAGGTCACCAGCACGTCCTTGGGCCGGAAGCTGGTCACCAGGCACGTCAAGGTGGCCGCCTCCTCCCGCGCCAGCTCCTCCGCCGCCGGGGGGAAGACGTAGACCTGGGGCATCTGCACGGGGCCGTCTGTGGGGACGGGCGCGAGACCAGGTCACAGGGGCTCTCTCGAGGGCCGGGACCCTCCCGGCTGAGCCTCGCTCCCCATAGGCTGGCCCTTCCAGCAGGCTAGAGCTTCCCGCTAGGCCAGGCTCTAGCGGGGGGACCTGCCCTTTGGGCTCGCCCAAAGGCCTTGGGCCTTCCTAGTAGGCTAGACCCTTCCAGTAGACTAGACCCTTCCAGTAGGACAGACCCTTCCAGCAGACCCATCTCCTCCAGTAGACTGGCCCAGTTGACTCTTCCAGTAAGACAGACCCTCCCAGTAGACCAAACCCTTCCAGTAGACCGGCTTCCAGTAGGATAGACCACCCCAGCAGACCCATCTCCTCCAGTAGACCGGCCCAGTTGACTCTTCCAGTAAGACAGACCCTCCCAGTAGACCAAACCCTTCCAGTAGACCGGCTTCCAGTAGGATAGACCATCCCAGTAGACCCGTCTCCTCCAGCAGACTGGCCCAGTTGACCCTTCCAATAGACTAGACCCTTCCAATAGATGAAACCCTTCCAGTAGACCAGCTTCCAGTAGGACAGACCCTTCCAGTAGACCCATCTCCTCCAGCAGACCGGCCCAGTTGACCCTTCCAGTAGACTAGACCCTTCCAATAGACCAAGTCCTTCCAGTAGACCGGCCCAGTTGACCCTTCCAGTAGGATAGACCATCCCAGCAGACCCATCTCCTCCAGTAGACCAGCCCAGTTGACCCGTCCAATAGACTAGACCCTTCCAGTAGACCAGCCCAGTTGACCCTTCCAATAGACTAGACCCTTCCAGTAGACCAAACCCTTCCAGTAGACCGGCCCAGTTGACTCCTCCAATAG